AAACACTTATCGAAAAAGCAGATTTGAAAACGAATGAACACTTGCACCTCTACCTACCTTAAATTTTTTGGATAAAAGAACAAAATATATAGAAAGTCTTCATTCTCCTCACTCTTGTTATTCCTTAAAATTAACTTGATATGAAATTTATTTTTTTGAGAGAAAAAGAGATGAAATTCGGATTTGAAGAGTAGTGTAGTGAAAAAATGCCCTTCCACTTCTATAACCTTTCTTTTTAATGAAAAATTAAGCGGGGGAGTTATATTATCATTAAATTTATTAAACTTAGTCTTTAACTAAGAATTGAAGAGTCTCTAAGCTATAAAAATAATTCATATAAAAGTTTTATGAAAAAACATCTACATAGTGATTCGAACATGGGTTGCCTATATGAAATACCATGTCGATGATTATTAAGGCGATCCAATTATTCATTAAATCTTTGTAATCAATTTTATTTAAATTTAATCTCTTAAATTGCTGGGCTTTTAATTAACTTATGACTTGAGCTTTCGTAATCTTATATGGGTTGAACTTCCATAGGTCGTTTCTAAAATAGGTTAGGCTCGTGGTGCTAGATCATCACAAAATATTAGCATAATTCCATTTTATTTTTCTTGGCTACTACAACTCTACATCGTTTGATTCGATAATCACATTGGTCTCCAAGTTTAGCAATTTATAAAATTTACTATTGTTAACATATTCAATTAAAGTACATTTAATGTCTCTTGGACCTAATTTGGTCCTATTAGGATTCATGTTCTTGCAATAAGCAAGACACCCCCATACTTTGAAGTATCTGATATTCAATTTTCTTTCTTTCCATAATTCATAAAGAGAAACATTTGTATGTTTAGAAGGAATCCTATTAAGTATTCTACATGCACTTAATAAAGTTTCACCCCATAAATTAAGGGCAACTTAACATATATAATCATAGCATTAATCATTTCTACTAAGGTTCTAATCTTTTTTTCAACCAAATCGTTTTGTTCGGGTGTCCTAGGTGCAGAATGAATTATGTCATGTTGTTGACAAAATAAATTAAATTCACTAGAAAAGTATTCACCATCTCTATCACTTCTTAAAATCTTTATTTTCTTTCCTAGATGATTTTTAACTACCTTAAACAAGTCAAAAGCCTCATGTTTATGTTTCATTAAATAAATATACGTGTATCTAGAGAAGTCATCTATAAAGGTAATAAAATACCTATTTCCACCACTAGTTAGCATGTCATTTAGTTCACATATATCTATATAGATTAATTCTAAGATACTAAAAGTTCTCTTAACGCTTTGATATGGTCTTCTAGTCATTTTTGATTCTACACATGTCTTGCATTTATATTCCTTATTTTCATCATATGAAATCAAATTACATTTTTTCATACGCTTTATAGTATTTTTACCAATATGTTCTAATCTAGCATGCCATAATGAAAATAAGTCAACAACGTAAGCAAAATCAGTTTTATTTATTTCATTGTCAACGGTACAAAGTTTGACCATTTCTCACAAGAATAACCTTTTCCAACAAATTTCCCTTCAAGAACTTTTAATGCCCGATTTTCCTAAGAAAATTCCACTAACCAAGTTCCTATTCATATTCAGAATATATAGTACAATTGTAAGAGTAACGTTTTTTCCGGAAGTGAATATGATATCAACATTTCCTTTTCCAATGACTTTGGACTGAACTTGTTACCCATTTGAATTTCTTGGTCTCCATCCACTTCATGATATGTTTTGAATAAAGATTTATTACATAATACATGTACAGTAGCACAAGTATCATACACAACCCGGGAACCTTTTCCTTGATTGCATTTATTTCGCTTACAGTGGTCACAATTTTGTCATCTTGGATGGAATTTATTTTACTTTCGGAGTTGTTCCGTTTCCGATGTCTACAATCTTTCACATAGTGTCTATATTTACACCATACAAAACACCCTTCTTTGGTTTTCTTCTTGGACTTATTAAAATTCTTCGAAGGTTTTCTCTTGTTAGATTTTGTAGGCGGTTTAGATTTTTCAATGGCATTGGCCTTAGAAGTTTCTTCCAAAGAGTTTTCACTTCTATCACGCAATCTGGATTCCTCCTCAATTTGAAATTTTTTTTACAATTGTTCCAAAGAATATTCTTCAGAACTATGCCTTATTTTCTTCCGATATCCTTTCCAAGCCCCCGGAAGTTTAGTAATTATAGCCCCAACTTGAAAGGTCTCCGAAATTTCAATCTTTACTGCCTTTAGTTTGTTGACAATTACTTGAAGTTCATGTACTTGAGGTAGCAAGAGAATGTTATCAAGAAATTTAAAGTCAAAATATTTCGAAATTAGAAATTTCTTGGTATCTTCCTCTTCTGCTTTGTATTTACTTTCTAAAACATTCCAAATATCCTTTGCGGATGTTGCGTTGGTATATAAATCATACAAACGATCCGAAGCGTGTTGAAAATGTGACCACGGCATATTAATTCATCTTCTTAGCATTTCTGCCTTTTAGCCTTGATTGCTTCGGTCTCTCCATTAGTGGGTTCTGGTAACGACCCCAAATCTGGATCCAAAATATAGAAGATCTCCAATGCCATAAGGAGAAATTTTAACTCGTCTTGCTACCGCGTGAAGTTTGTGCCATCAAACCGCACCAAATCTTGGTTCATGAGTTTTATGGTTGCCATTGTAGTCTCGCTCTCCATCGCAGGAAATAGCGTTTGAGATTTGTTGGAAATATGGAAGTAATGAAGAATAGACAAAGGAAAATCACAAAAAATATGGCAACAAGATGAACAAAATCAGAAAATTGTCAAGAACAATTTTGAAGGCTCGAACGCGGAATCGCTGTCTTCAAACATTATTTGTCCCTTCTACTATGTTTTCGAGATGCTTAAAGGTATTCTGACAAATGGTTTGAATGATTATAACAAGCCTTGTTGTGGAAAATAACAAAGCACAAACAATTTTCCACCAAAACTTTGAAGAACACGATAAGAAAATGAATATGTAATAAGAATAAGAATTCGATCTTTTGATTGTTGAATTGGAATGAATTTCAAGTGTTTTTCTTACTTATTTTGACTTGAACATTTCTCCACTATATATAGACCTCATCTATATACATGAAATGATGCCAAAAAATGTATGAAAGGCCACCAAATTCAAGTTTCCAACGTTCAGGAACTGCCACCAACAGTCACCTAGTTTATACCATGCGGTAAAGCCATGCAGTCGCATGGTTCAGCCGCACGAGGGGCTCCAAGTTTCGCTAAGCACCCATGCGACCGCATGGGCATTATGCCTATGCGGACGCATGGTTTAAGTTAGAACCTATGGCATCCCTTTTTTGTTTATTCCACAAATGGTTGATTTCGAACAACCGCTTCAACAATGGGCTTAATGGAAAACTCGGCCACTGGTTGACCTTTCAAGCAAAAAATGGCAGTTTGAGTTGAAAATTATAAGTCCATTAGAGGGATGACTTCGGATTTTGAGGGTTTCTTCCTTTTTTCGTGTCATGTACGTAGGTGTTGCTGTACACTCATTGTATAAAAGTCGAGAATGATAAATTCCATTGTATACTATTTTCAGGTTTGTTCGCACTTTTTGATTGAATTATAATTATTTAAATATTTGAATAAAAATATCTCACAATACTGTTATATAATCACTACATTACATGTGTTAAATACTAGTTATAAGAAGAGAAGAGAAGAGAAGAGAACCCCACCCGAGTTAAAAGGCATTTATGTCACATAACTGTTTTTGCCAAACATGTTATTCTTAAAAAGATATTCCAAAGTAAATTTGGACAATATTTATTTTGTGAACACTCGTATATTAATGTGCTGGACTTTTAGGTCATGTATAAGTCAATTAGTGAGTTTATAAAAAGCCTGCTGAGTTGTTGCTTCATAAATTCTCTTTTTAGATGGAGTTCTCGAGAGGTAGATATTTTCCTTTGTTTAGTTTAGATAAAAATTAGATTTTTGGTAGATTTTAATAAAAAATGATGAAATAAATGATTAAAATTAAATGTTTACTTTTACTTTGATTTTAATTTACTTTTTAAGATGAATCAAACATAGACTTAGTATGTAGCATTAGATAGGATAGTATAATAGAATAAATAATATTTTAAACACTTTTTCGTTCTTGATTTTATCCAATACTATCTAATTCATCGTACTCAACCCGTACTATATATTAAGTTACACTATCATCTGTCCCTTCTGACATATCCCAATGGTGCAAAGGACAAAATTGAGGTAGTTTCACTCTTGTTGGCAGTTACACTGTGAATGTTAGATTCCTGAGATATGGAATAAGACTCTTTGTGAGTATCAGTGTACAAACAAGTTCTTGTTCCCTGATTTATTGGGGCACATTTCGCGATTTACCTCTCTCACGATACTCCAGGGACGGACGGCGGAGGCTCTCAAAATTGGGATTCAACCTTTAAGTTACACTATCATCCCAAGTTGGTAATATGTACTATTTTACACTCCGAAAGAGAGAGAGAGAGAGACAGTAAGCATCGGTACCATTCTTCATGAACTTTTGACCATCTTGTAATGTAAGGAAAAGGCACACGCCATTTTGATTTTTCCCAAGTTGAAAGCATGTTTGGCTGAGATTATGAGTAATGTTTTTAGAGCTTATTTCGACAGTGAGCAATGGACTTGCTATGCCAAAAAAGCTACTTATAATCTTCGTTAAACATGTTTTTTCAACATTACTCATTTAAGTATTCCATGTGCCAGTGCATGCAGGAGACATCTGATGACCCAAAAAACTAAACAAAAAAGAAAAGCCCCAACGTTTTGAAAGGATCAATTTGTTTGGCTTCTCCAATAGAACCAAAAAAGCAAAATAAGTTTCTTTTTGTTCCACCTTTTCTTTTATATGCAACCCATAAACTCGTGCATTAATAATATGCATCAACAAGTTAACAGAATCGAATCCTAATGTCGAAGTATGCAACTAATTCATAATAATTAAAATAACTGAAGTTATTTATAAGTATAAATTTTAAGCATAGCCAAACAAGCCATTTTGCAATACTGAATTGAATGGCTCATGATCCCTTAACGCTTTATGTTCCAGACACCTTCCTACGAGAAAGTTTCATCCCTCTGTGTCCATCAGACCATCGCCTATTTAAGTAACATAACAGAGCCTTCTATTTATTTTCGCAATTAGATGCAAAGATTGTGTCACTATCTATTCCGACTAATACAATGACATACATGTGACTCTCTTTTTCTCTTCGTCTGATAGTTCATTGTTTGTGATCAGCAAACACTGTCGAACTTGAGGTGCTCGAGCACTGCAAGTCGAGCACATTGACAGGTGTGAATGAACTCGACCCCATGTCGAGTACTGATTCATAGCCATCCATTGCTATTTCTTGCATCAAATTGTAACAATTCAACAAACTATTCTGTACAAGGAATGACAATAAAGAAGTAAATAAGGATTCGAATTATGCTTAAGTGTATATTGCATGGGTTACATCTTGGTGTACGAATTCAAAATGTGTTGGACCAAAAAGTGCGTTTTCTTTAAAACTGTCCAATCATATGTCACCACATGACAAAATGTCAACCATGAAATAAAAACAATATAGCAAGATCGATAGAGATAAACTGAAGGGGAAACTGCAAAAGGGAAATGACATTACCTTATTTACATAGGAACAGCTACAGATTGCATTTCTGAAGCTAGAAAATTGTAAAGGAAACCATTCATGAGCAGCGCATAATAAAGCCGAGGCAGAAATTATTGATGGCTTGAACTCGAGGAGCTTGATATCTGATGTTCAATGACGACAGACAGTAAGAAAAATAAGCTAAAATCTTGTTAATTGTAATGTCGACTACTCTATAGACTAACCATTTTGAGCTTTTAGTATAATCTCAGTGGCTCTGTTTTTCAATGCTTGCCTTGATGGTTGATCCTTAAATTTGAACAATGAGATAAAGAAATGGATAAAAGAAAAAGGACTGATTGAACGCATTCGCCATTTTAGAGCACCAAGGATCAACAACTCCATTCGCTCTATGGTGTGTGAATCAAAAATTATACCTCCATCATTCTGCCCAAAAGATTATACATTTATAAATTATAATCGATAAAAATCTTAACATAAATTTAATTCGACGTGCAAAAACACAGAAATACCTGAATATCAGTAACAGAAAACTCTTTTTTTCTCATCTTCAGTGCTAATGAAACGCAAGAAATCGCCAAAAGTCTCAAGATCCATGGCTTCCCTTCCTGCAAAACCAAGAATTCATTACATCTTTTACGAGCGATGTGGGATACAATTTTATAGGCTTACGTTTAAGAAATTTACCAGTGTACTTTGAGTAGAAATGAACCGATCCAGGTAATTGACGGCAAGATAAGAAGAAAATGGATCAGAATTTTGAGAAAAATGTAACACCAAAGAAATGGTTTCTCGCCGAACCGCAACATGTAAATCTGTTTCCTCGAGGAATGATTTTGAAGGCATGTGATCAGTCTCAATTAAAAAAAGTGCATCTGAAGTTGGCAATGGATTTTCAAGGTCAAACTCAAACTCAAACTCCATCGATGAACCTTTGAATCTCTCTCTCTTTATCTCTTCAATACATTGTATTGTGGCCTGTGGGTTTATTCTTTTCTTTACCCTGGTGGGGTGGGGTGGGGGTGGGGTGGTAAGCAGAGGGAAGTAAATGATAAAGAAGAAAAGATGAGTGTTCGCTGTCTGTGGTTAAAAGAAACTGAAGAGAGACTTCAACTTCACTCTTCAGTTTTCAGTCCTCTTTACATTCACATTGGGAAGGAAAAATATATATGTGGGGAAGAACGTAGAGTTTTAATCAGGTGCACATGAGGACTACGGTTAAGAAATTATTTGACAAATGAAGGGAAGAAAAATTCTTGTGTTTTTAGGGTAATCAATTTCAGTGAAGACGAGATGGAGCATGTGGCTCAAATTCATGACACTATTTTCTTGTATGTTGATTTAGCAAACGATGCCTTAAGCCACTTAGCCATAACTCCAAGTTGTTGATCGGATTAGAATTTGATGTGTTGGGTTTAATTGGTTGGCCAAAGGTGTTCAGGGCTCAAATCATACCTTACTGCTTACAATCGATCCAAAGTGGAAGTATCTTTTCCTCTTGAGGTTTGAAAAATCTTAATCGGGTAGTGACCAAGCATCGATGATTCATGTGATTATGTAATTAGGAAAATAATTACTTATTTTCATCCTAATTCTTATTTTGAGTTTATGATAGGAGACATTTATAACACTTTAATATCATTAACGAGACCTTTTCCATTATTTACAAATTAGACATACAATGATATTTGTTTTTCTCAGGAATAAAGTTTTGCTATTTAATGCATTATTTATGCTTGTAACCTATATTCATATCATAATATTTGGCTTACATTTAGGACGACATTCGATAATCAAATAATTTAAAAACAAAAATTGTTAAAGAGAGACTCTTGTATTAACTTGAATCCCGTCTTTAATATACTTCTCAATTATGTATAGAATTCATAATTGTAGACAGGGACCAGGTTTGATTACGTATAATTGCCAAAATTCGACTTTAGTTGGCAAAATGTAATTATAGGTGAAAACCATTTACAACTTTATTTATAAGTCAATATAAGCAGTAGTCAAATTTGTTTTGATACTATTCCGATTTTACATTTCATCACTGTGTCATTATATGACATATTTGTAACGGTTAGTTCTTTAGTGATAAGCATCTATACGTATTTTGTTTTTATTCCATTGACTTCAGTTTAATTTAAAATCTCAATCATGAATAATTATAAACTCCTTTACCATTATGGCTTTTTTTTTTTTTTTAAATAGATTGAGTTAAAATCTTCTTGTTCCTTGGAATTATGCTCACTATTCTACAACTTTTATATTAATTCACTTAATTCCCTCCTACTACTGATTTAAATAAAATTATTGCAATTTTATATTGGCTTGTCCAATTTGTTTAACACTATACAAAAATTATGTATAACGATTTTATCTCTATTAAAGATTGATCATTATATATTAAAAAAAAATCCTCAAAAAATCAATGATAAAACCACATAGAAAACATGTCACTTTATTGCAATTTATGAGAAGTAAACCCAACTACTAAAATAATGATGAATAAGTACCAACTCTATAATAAATTTTTGCAACACATTAAAGGGGTTTCTATAGACTGTAATTAAAAACAATAATAATAATAAATAAATAGAGGTTTGAAATTAATGTATTCTTCAAAAATAAGAATTTTAAAATGTACTCTTTGAACACTTTAGCTAATGTAAATTATATTATTTATTAGATTCTGCCTTCGATAACAAATAAACATTTTAGATAGTTCATGCTTTATTTTCATAATTAATGAATATATATCATGTTTCTACTTTTGCTTTTAGCATTTGTATCTATCTACTTATGCTGATAAGTTGGGTCTGTCTACATAATGGCATATACTTAAATATGACTTATTTAAGCAGTTTCTTGACTGTCATCCCAATAATTCACAATTAAAATGCATTTTCTTCTTATATGTAACTTAGATTACACAGTACTTGAAGAAACAAAGGTCAATTAACTACTTCAAAGTGGGGGATCACACCTTTTCAAGGATATTATCATTGGACATGTCCAAAGGCAAAGACAAGTTTTAAATCTTTTGGTTCACATAAAAAATTGGAAAATCCACTTCCCCAATTATAACAAACAAAACCCAACAAATTTGGTACAGTACAGAATTATAATTTCAGAGTGACAGCTTGGTGTCGTGTCCTCAAATGTATGACCACCTTCCTACAATAACAAGATTATTAATAGGACAAAAACACTTATAATTTCTATGCAGACACGTCCTTGTTAGGCTATCTGTAGCTTGTAGTGCCATTATAAACACACGACTTTTATGGGTTTTAGTGAAAACCAAAGTCAATGTGAAAAAATGACTTAAAATACTGTTAGATTAGATGATGAAGAACTTTTTTGACATGTGAATCAAGGAAGGTGGAAGGGGAGACAAGGTTCACATTATGCAATCTAAGACTTTACCAATGAGAAATTACATCTGGTTCGATTAAGAAAGTTAGTTCTTGTTTAAGTCATATTATTTCCATAAGAATGTATTTTTAAATAGTGTATTGATGGAAAATGTGTAATTAAAAAATGAGTTTTGTTACACGTACATCGAAGTTGACATTCCAGTGTACAAATAGCATTTTCCTTAAAAAAAAAGGGGCCTATGAGGCCCTGGACGTCCAGGCGCCCCCTATAGGTGGGGGCCTAGTCCGACAAAATATGATATTGACTTCGCCTAATTTATTTATAGTGGAATAAAAATAAAAGAAAACTATGAAAATTAGACAAAAGATGCAAATGTTCGTTTGGCCGTGCTTAAAAGTAAATTGAGTTATTTTATCAAATGATTTTTAAAGTTACTTTTTTCTTAGAAAGCTAAGGTCGTGGTTGGTTTGCCATTTTCGGCTCATTTTTCGTTTTCGAAAACACGAAAAACGGGTTTAGTCCGTCATTTTCGAAAACGCATTTTCGAAAACGGGTTAAAATTTATAATTGAAAACGCAAAACTATTTTTTATCATTTTCAGTTATAAATGTTGAAAACGTTCAAAATGCGGAAAACGGGTCATTTTCGGGGAAAACTAAAAATTGTGTTGAAAATAAAAATGGAAAATGAAAACGCAAACCAACCACTACCTAAGTTTTTACTTATTTTTTTATAAAAAATAATTTTTGAGTTCGTGCTGCGAACCAAAACAGAGGCTGACATAAAAAAAATTTAATTGTTAGCTCTTTCTTGAATTATGTAAAAATGCATTAATTTGCAGCAGGTTCGATTGAGTGCATCTAAAGCTGCATGTCATGTTTGCCATGTGAATAGAAAATAGCAAAGATGTGCAGTGTGCTCAGAAAAATAAACTTAATTAACAAAATGTTTAAATTGGACCTCAAAAACCATCTTTTGTCATATATATGCCTGCTTCCCAGTATTTGACAGAATATTTATGTGTTACATTTGACAAAAATAAGCAACCAGCAGCCTAAGCCTTGGATTTAAGCAAATGGTCAGAATATTTTCTTGTTATCTATTGCTAAAAATTGATTTTTGCATTTATCCCAAGAGTTACATTTGAGTCATTAAACAATAAACATCATTTAATAATGATACTTTAAAAAAAAAAAAAAACTATAATGATTGATTTTTAATATCTACACTAATGAATCAAATAAACGAGATCAAATATTTTTCCTTATCTTCATATATCTAGTGACAGTTCAGTAATGATTATGAGAATTGATTTTTTAACCATTAGATAAAAAAATGGGTCCTATCTGTGAGTGAAAAAGTCAAAAATGACGGCTGAAATAGTGAAATAACGGTTAAAAAATTAATTTTTTGGAATGAAAAATTGCTACTAAACGAGGGCCTAATTCGAAACTTTCACCTAATTTCGATACCTAGCTGGTTGGTGAATAAGATTAGGTAATTGATGAACTGAAACTATTCCATTATTGTGACATTACTTCACGAGTATATGAACTATGTATTTTAAAGTAATTTATATATGCGAGATATATGATATTCATTCATATTATGTAAATGTAATTATTTTATAAGTATCATAAATTAAATTGACCTCCTAACTTGATGATCGAAGAGCTTTTGTTAGGCAATGTAAACGCCACTTCTTTGTGTATTGTATTTTAAGTTTGTTCGTAGATCGATGGAGTGAGAACAAATATTTTAAGATTCTTACATATTCAAAGGCATCTTGCTCTCCATTCAAAATTGACATTTGAGTTCCCAATCTTCAATTTCTTCACAATCATATTTTTAAAAATATGAAATGAACGGTGGAAATAATTTATATATGAAAATTATAAAATAAGAATTAAATCTACTAATGGCCATCCAACTTTATATTTAATGTTACAATGACCCTCTAATTTGATTTTATTTCACCATAGTCATCTATTTTCATATAACGTTTCATTATGACCGTCCCACCATTTTCCCTAATTTTAAAAGGAGTGAAATGGTAACTTTACACTATATATAAAATAAATTTTAAAAAAACAAAAACAAAAGTTTTTTGTTTAAAAATGTTTTTTAAACTCTATTTGCCTCTGCCATTTTATGAGTCTCTTCCTTTTTGCGTATGGCATCGCCACTCCCACGTTCCGGGAAAAAATCTGAATATCGTATTCGTCTAGAAGAAAAACAAAAATTGCATTTTCAAATCAAATATTGATTAATACGTAATTGATCGAACACTACTTGCAAACGGCTCTTTCGTCACCACTTTGTGGAAAATAGTTAGGTATGAATATGTTAGATACTTGTAACTCTAAATCTTTTTATTTTATTCAAAAATTAATTTTTTCAAAAAAATAAAAGTTTTTATTTTATTTTAAAAACGTTTTTTAAATAAGTTTTTATTTTATTTTAGAAATGCTTTTTTAAAAAAAAATAAGTTTTTATTCTATTTTAAAAACATTTTATTTTATTTTATTTTTGAAGTAACCTTTTTTTATTTAATTTTAAAAAAAAATAAGTTTCTATTTTATTTTTTAAATTTATTTTATATATATAAAGAAAAGTTGTCGTTTTACCCCATATAAAATTAGTAAAAATGGTGAAATAAAGTTGGCGGTCATAGTGAAATGTCATATGAAATTGGGCGGTCATAGTGAAATAAATTTAAATCGGATGACCATGGTAACACTAAGTATAAAATTATATGGTCATTGATGGATTTAAACCTAAATGATGGTTTTCCACTTTAAATATTTAATCCCCCTTTGACTCTCATTCTCTTTCATTTTTTTTTTCTTATTTTTCACCACAAAATCTTTCATAAAATAATATTACACGTAAATCGCAAAATTTTCATTCTTTTTCAACCATATATTTTTCAAAAAAATATTATTCCAAACATTAAAATTTAAAAAAAAAATGGGGGGCCAAAGTGGGCTTAATATAATCTGAACTAGTCAATTTTGGGGCTAAAGCAGCCATCTATTAGGTTCATATTTGTGCTCTTTCTATTCACCTACTTTTGACTTAATTCACCAATTCACTAAATATTTTGACTTCGCAAAGACTTGAAAAGAAAGAAAGAAAAATGTGCCACAAAAGAATGGGTTCGATTCTTTGACCCAAAAATAAATAAATAAAAGGAAAGGGGGCAAAAAAAAAAAAGGAAAAAGAGGAAAAAGGGATAAAGAAAAATGTTTAAACTTTGCTAATGTTACATCTAGATGAATTTCTAGTCATTTTCTTTTTTTATTGCCACATCAACCTGACGGAATCCCTGCCGGCTCTCATTGTAGAGAACTTTTTTTCAAAATGCCGTCCATTTTTCTATTCTTTAAGCAATTCATAGTAGCATCAAAAATCCACTAAAACTTGATGATGTTGCCCAAGTATCCACTAAACCTTTTATATAATCATACTTATATTATGGTCTAATCGATTGTAACAAATATATTTTTTAATCTCTGCACAATGTGCAACATTATTGGGAGTTGTTTATAATCGAATTAAATTATAAATAAATCAAAGTGAATGGTAGAGAAATGAATAGTACGTCCTACAAAAAGTGATTATCGATGACAAATAGTTTACATACATTAACTAAACCTGGTTTGATTTAAGCCAAATCCAATATTGCGGCAGTTATTTAAGCCCCTGGTTTGATTTAGATTAAAATAAAAATAAAAATTTAGGATCTGTTTTCGATTTTCAGTTTTGAGTTTTGAATTTATTTTCTACTTTCTGTTTTTGAGGGTCTGTTTTAAGATTTCTAAAAACGCATTTGATTTATCATTTTGAAAAGTTATTTTTCAATGCAGAACATTAAAAAATACACTTAGTTTGAAATTTTGAAAAATTATCTTATGACATTTTATTTTATAATATTTGATTATCCAGTAAAAAAAAAAACAATTTTTATGCTAATATATTTATCAAGTATTGTATACATTTTAAAATTGGTGAATCTTATATATTTTTTTTTCTAACTAAAAATTAAGATAAAAAATTAATTAAATTAATTTCAAAATATTATAATTAAAAATAAAAACTAATGACGTGAACTTAAAATATTTTTGTTTGTGTTCATTTAAATAACTAATTGAGAAGAATTAATCTACTTGTACGAAATGTCTTACCAAATTTTTGACTAAATTGACAAGTAGCGCCCCCTATTGAAGGGGCGTCTGTCCACTCCAATAAGGGATCGACACTTATCAATTCGATCATCCATTTGGTAAATGATTTGGTACATATAGCATCTCCCAATTGAGAAAGGCTCCTACTTTTATGTTAGGATCTAACGGTTGTTATTGGATGTTGATAATCTCCAATTTAGATCTATTCCAAATTAGGGGAATTTTTTTTTAACTTATTCTACCTATTTATTTATCTTCTCTATAACAACAAATTAGCAACAGAAATTTTACCAATGAAATAGTAAATTTGTTTGTAATGTCATTTTATTATTGAACAATAATTTTAAAATAATTTGTTTATAATGGGTTAGCATTCCGTTACTAATAGCAATGGAAATCATCCGTTACTAAAATTTCATTTGTGTAGCCTCCATTTCTAGTAGTGGCAGTCAATGATCCGTTCATCATAGTTAATCATATGGTATTTTTTTTTTTTTTTAATTTTCACTCGTTCTTTCAATCTTATGTACACTTTGTTTTAGTTTGGGATCTTGCGCCCTAGATCTGTTGCATGAGTGGTTTGCTTAACAATTCATCATAATATTGCTTTCACTCAACGTGAAACCCAACTCTTACTCTTCAATTATTTTAATGACTACTCTGATTGTAATTAGTTGTCACTTTGCCTACATGATTTAGATATAATTCTTATAAACTCGATCGGGCTTCTTGTGATCTCATTGAGTTTATTTGAGTTGGATCTACCTCTGTTAATTATCTGTCTAGTAGTTATGAAATGAGCTTGTAGTGAAGTTATATTTTATGCGATTTCTGTAGACATATATATTGAAGTATGACAGTGTTCAATGTCAATGGAAGAACCAAGAGCTAAAGGTCAAGGATGATAAACCTCTCTTGTCCGGCGAGAAGACTGTAACTATTTTTGGCATCAGGTACTCATTTGTAGCTTTATATAACCTTTTTGTTGATTGCCTTGTGTGTGAATATGGATCATGGGCTAGTTATTGAATCCTTGTTTTCAAATAGAATTGAATTGTATTCAATAGAATGTAACATGTCAATGCATTGAGACACAATGTGTAGGAGGTTTCGATGATCCCTATGCTTAAGCTTCAAAAAGAATTTCAATGAACTGTCATTCAATATCCGAATCGGGAACATCTCTACATCAACAACGTACTCAATTTTTAGACACGAAATTTTCTTATCAAGCTTCAGTTCACTTATTATCATGTCAACAATATCAATGTACTTGAATTCAAAGGGAACAAGATTTCCAAACGTAGCTGTTCCATTTACTACAAATACATTTACATCATCCATACCTGCATACACAAAAAAAAAATAAATAAATAATAATAATAAATAAATGAAAAAAGATTTACACAGGCGTTACATTTATTCAATGATTCAACATTATTTCTTTTGGTGCACGTTACCAAAATCAAGATCATTATATATTGACTTTTATCATATGTCACAAATACAGACACATTACAAAATCTATGTTCCAATTTTTTTGAATTCTAGCAATACAATTCATACTCAACGTTACAGAGTGAAAAGATATATGTCCTAATCTTTTTGGTCTTTTCTTTCCGCTTTAAGAATGAAAGAGGAGGAATGTCTCAGTAGTTCTAATCAATTAGATAATTCAAATATATTTTTCTTATGTTTGACATTACAAACTTGCACTACGAAATCAAGTTTCATTTAAATAGCAGATGCATATATGCTATCGTATATTTGCAATCAAATCAAGACCAAATGGATTAAATGGTCTCAATCGTTTAAAAATATTTTCAGATGAGAAATATGAATTTGAACTACATAAAAGTCGAATTGAATTATATCCAATTGCAACACATTACAAATTCCGCAACGTTACCTTATAATATGGAAAATCAAGATTATACGTTTCAGCAAGAGCCTGTAATTCTTGATGGATAGATATAGAAGAAAGCAAATATGGTATGACCTTCTACAAAGTTGAAATTGGGTATGTTTTGCTCATTTCTGCTTTTTGAATTTTGTATTGATTTTCGAGAGATATTAAATGAAGAGCTTAATTTTTGGGTGATTTAAAAATTGTCAGTTACAAAACATAGTTTGGGATCTAATTTTGGTATATAGTATTTCTTAAATTATTTATCAAACCTCACAGTATTTTATGGATTATTAAAGTAAAATAGTATAATTTGAAATTTTATTTCATAATGATGTAAATACGAATTTTTCTGTCTAGTTTTATCACACTGAATGTGCCATTCATGTTTTCATCATTCTGGAAAAGGAAACTAAGCTCATATTTGATTTTGATTAAAATCTGATTTTACTCTAAGTCAAAGTTAAATAATTAATATTAATCACCTCTTTCATGGATCTCACAACTTTTCAACAACGCATTTCGAAAACTTCTATTATAATCTGCTAAAAATCTAATTTTAATCCCCACCGAACATCCGCTAAACCCCATTGTGATTTAGATAAATTATATTTTTAGTAAATTTAAATAAAAATTAATGGAATACGTAATTCAAAAGTTGTGAGTCCTGTAAAACAAGTGTTAGAAATTAATGTAGTTGAACAAAACAGGGGCTAAATAAGAAAGTTGACGTGGTTAGATTCCTATTTATGAAATCCAAACGTGTGGCTCAACATGATGTCTTATCTACACATAAATTGTCGTGGTCACACTCCATTCGTCTTAATAGCTTCATCTCCCAACTCTCAGATACTTGAAAAGTTTCCTCTCCTAAATCGCAGCTGATGGCGTCTTTCACTGTATTCCCCGTCACCCCATCTCCGGTAAAATCATCGTCGAACTCGTTTCGATCCTTAGTTTTATTCATACAAATTATAATATATGCTTACGCAACTTTGTTTATTTTTCTGGCCAGCTGTGCTCGAGCAAGAATGGGATGAACTCATCTTCACAAGCAGCGCTCATAAAATGCGTGAGAAGCAGCCATTTAGTTCAAAAGGAGAATAAGATGAGGGTCTCGTGCATGGCAAGTATTCCTGCAGATGATCGAGTGCCTGATATGGGAAAGAGGGAGCTCTTGAATTTGCTCCTTTTGGGTGCTCTTTCACTTCCCACCGCCGGCATGTTGGTTCCTTATGCTTCGTTCTTTGTCCCACCTGGGTAATTTTCCAATTCTTTTCATATCATTCCTGTAATAATCCTATTGAAAGTCCAGTGTGATTCTTGTTGTCGGGTTGTTAATTCCATAAGCTTAAATGTGAATTCAAAACATTGATGATTTGTATGCTTAACCGCAGTGAATTACTTCAAAGGGGGGAAAAGCAGATTATTAACAATACTATAATTTTCTAAAAAAAATAAATAAATAAAATTGCTTCGTTTGTTTTGGAATAGGCAGCTCTTGTGAATTTCTAATTGTTGCATATTTCCTCTCTAATGTTAATTGTAAATATGAAGTACGTGATGCACTCTTGCACCAGTGGCAGTGGCACCAGTCGGATTGAAAAGAATTAATCTTAACAATAATCGGGAAATTAGAGAATGCACGCAGATTAGCTTAAATTTTAATATTTTTTATTAGGATTTAACACCCTTTGAATGTAATTCTTATCGTTTTTGAAAGAAAGCAGCAATTTGAAATCTAGAAATCAATACCTTGGAGAGACATTATGCTTCATTGCTTCTTTGCTGACTCGAAAGTTTAAGATGTTGGAGACGAAGCACAAATATTTGTATCTTTACCATGAGAGATTTTTTGATGATAAATTTTCATGACTTGTTCAGATGTATAGAATCTTTTGGCCATTAAGATGTAAATTCTCCATCTGTGCTGTTATTCACCTTCATCCTGCTTGTCTCAACAGAGATGGTCACCTAATAATCATATGGTGTAACATTTACTTTCTATTTTTATCCTATATAAGGCTATAAATTCAATTGCTTTCATTAATGGATGTAAAACAATAGCCTGTCTTCTTTTTGTTCTTCTGTTTCGTGAACTGGGAAATTTCCGTGCAGTCTTTGCCAATTCACGTTTTGTCTATACTATGTTGACTAGTTTCTTTGCTCTGTCATTTCTTACATCACAATGTTACATGTTAATGCGAACCAAGAGCAGGACTGGAGGGTCTGGTGGTGGAATCGTAGCCAAGGATGCATTAGGAAATGATGTTCTTGCGGATGTATGGATCAAAAACCATGGACCTGGGGATCGGACCCTTACACAGGGATTGAAGGTAATTTTCATTTAAAGTATTAGTTGAATTTCCATTAACTGTATTTGGGTTGAGTAGAACAACCGACTACAAGATGATGCTTAGAAGGAATATTTCAATTGTAGCATTTGGAAGGCAAAATATTTAAAGAGAATTTTGTCGGCTTAATAATCTTGTGGTCGATACACGACTATTCATTGAGCTCACACATCTTTGACCCTTTCTCTTTTGCCGTCACAATTCACATGCTCAAGTGGATTGTGCTGAGACAAATTTGAATTCATTGGACATTAAAGTTAACATAGGAGGAATTCACTCTCGTAATTGATGAAGATAGATCTTGTGGATGAAAATCCTGAGTTGATGCTGCATTTTTTTTTAATTAAGTAATAATTTATTAAAAATCCCTCATTTGTGATGGAGGAAAACCGTGATGAAAGACTCAAACAACGTCGCTATACCAAAACAGTTATCAAAACATGTGAACTAAAACACCTTCAATCACAAAAGACACCACTACCATAGCCTGTTCTACATCTCACTTCCTCCAATACGCTACCCCCATCATCTCTAGACAAAGTAACCCTCGAGCAATCCTTGATACATTAGTCCAGGTATTAAAACGTCTCCATAGGCCTTTTGCTCATAATCTAGCTAAGTGATCTGTCACTTGGTTCCCCTCACTTCATTGATGTGCCACCTGATATTCAAATTGCTGTAATAAATTCAAAAGATATCCCAGAAGTCCCATAGATGCCACAAAGAACACTTCAAAGATGAAGTCTATGAAACTACCAACAATGAATCGCACTCGATATCAATATGGTTTACGCCCAACTCACGACATAGTTTTAGACCTTCAATAAGTGCTCCCAATTCAACTTCGTTGTGGGTCCCCTCACCAAAATTGCTACTGAAAGCTAAAATCAATTCACCTCTTGCATTCCTTATTACTCCTCCCCCATCAATTTGTCCAGGGTTCCCAAGACTGCTACCATCCACTTTGAGTTTCACTAGATTATGATATGGTTTTTTCAACGAAACCACTCGAATCTGCTTAGTTATGATTGGTGCTCGAGGACCTCTAGCATTTGAAGAACATACTCATCATGACTAGTTAGCACTTTTGCATTTGACAGGTTAAGAGAAACCTGTTGTAACCAGAATTTAATAGATAAAAGCACATCCTCAACATATTCATTCTTATCCTCCATCCTTGCTTTATATCTTCTTGTCCAAAGCTTCCAAGTAATTAAACTTGGGAGCAAACCAATCAAACATCCTACCTTTGGTGATCTTTTTGCTCTTGCCTACCATAAATTTATTCTTTCCATCCAATTTTTCTTGCCCTCCATCACACACCCACCATAGCTCCTACTTTCCTCCACATTTTGTCCGCAAAGTCGCTAGAGCCTAGAACATGAGATGCATTTTCCTCGTTGGCCTATGGAGCAGCAATCTCATTTTGATGCAAGAGTAATGCCGACTGACTTAATGCGTTCATCAACACTTAGACTTTCATTAAGAGCTTTCCACATGATCACGGAAACACACTTAGGCAGGGCGTTGTTCCATATCCATGTCGCCCATTCAACTTGAGCATCCTGCATCCTCACTACCTCCTAAGCAGATTTAAAAGTGAATAAGCCATTTTTATGTGGTTTCCAAGTCAACAAATCTGTTCCCCTTCTTCAAGTTCCAACCTGAGATACAACTTGATTTTCCAGAGTGTCACCAACAAGGTATCTCAGACGAACCATATACCATCCATTTTCTAAACTGAAAAAGATATAGTTCGACCCAACCAACACCTAGAGCGGGGGTGAATAAGTGTTTATGCGGAATTAAAACAATTAATTAACTTATGCAACAAGTCACATAAATTATGCATTGCTTATATTCATTCACACACTTTATCTACCTAAGTTGAATTATCGGTTGAAAAATAAATAATAAAAAGCAGTAAAAACACCACAAAATGTTGACGGAGAAAACCCAACTGGGTAAAAACTCCGGGCACAAGCTAGTAGAGATCCACTATCGAAGATATTGACTTACAGTACGCCAGACATAATTGAAACTAACAATTCTCTGACCTCCTTACTGTATCAACCAAAGCTCTCCTGGATTCTGCAGATCTGCGCTAAAATCCCAACCTTGAATATCTTCTACTTCCCGTGAATCACCAAGCACTCCAGCTCTTCAAGCAATTTCCTTCCCGGATCTTCAAACAGATGATCTTCTAGAAGTTGATATGGAGATATGAAGGGGTGTTTTTTGTTTTGTGATGGTTGATGTTTTTATTTAAAAATCATGAGAATCAAAAGATGAGAAAGATCGAATGTTTGACTCTAAATCCTTTGGAAGTTAAAAGAAGTTCTTGTTTGAATGTTTTCCAAAAGTATTTAATGAAAGTCGAACGTTTTGTTTATATAGTAGGTCAAATTTGGAAATATGGAGCGTTAAAAATTCGCGAGGCATTAAAATTACCAATGGCCAGATAACACCGTCGCTCGAGCGAGGTGCTGGCGAAACTCGAGCGACGCACCTTCGTTCGAGCGACTGCCCAGCGAAACTCCAACGAGACCGGTTCTGCAATTTTGGCTCGAGGCGAAACTCTAGCGAAATCAACGCGCCGTTTGCATCTTCAAAGCATGCCACTTTACCCTAGACCTATGCTATGAAATTTATTAAATTGCAACTCTAGTCCCTGAACTATTCGACCTTTACAATTTAGTCCCTGACTTTACAAACATGACAAATAGGTCCTTTGGTCACAGATTGCCAATTACACATTTTCCTAACAAACTTCCCCTTTGGCATTCTGTGACAAAAATACATATGACAGTCAAGGAAGAAATAAACATGACTTCAAACAACCTATCTATTCAACCAAATTAGCAATCTCTTGTTGAACCTATTTCTTGAAAATCAAAAACTCAAATACCAAGTGTAAAAGCATGTGAAATGGAAACAGTAAATAAAAACAAAAAATAGATCATATATCATTAACCAGATTAAGAAGCAATAATAATGTAAGTCAAAAACACCAAAAACATACATTAGTATTGCCAAAACATCAAAAACTTAATCTAGTCACCAAAAAATTTATATCTATCTATCCAAATATCGATATCTATCTATCCAAATATCTACTCCCCTTTTTGTCACAAAGGACAAAGGATCAAAACAATTAACTAACTAACTACGAGGCAGCACCTCCAGCATCTGAAGACTCAGCTCCGCTCTCAGCACTCGTGTCCTCCTCCATACTATCACGAATCCAACGCAAATGACGCTAAAGCACTGCAAGAGCACGACGAAAAGAAGAAAGCTCAGCTGATTGACGCTCCGACGCAGTACGTAACTACGTGATCTCTGCCATCATACGAGCCTGCTGCTCGACCAAAGTAGACATCTGTCCCATAAGCGTCACCATAGGGTCAACGGGCAAAGCAGCCACCCCAGGAGCAGAGTTAGATGTCGAAGGAAAGGTAGAACTAAGTGGATTGGCCGAAGGAAAATCCGTACGCGGCGGGAGAAACACACGGGAACCTCAAGTAAGAATCTCAGTAATAGGATCAAAGGGCTCCGAAAGATCCAAAACATCAACGGCCGCTGCCTGACCTGTAGCATGAGCAGAGGAGAAGATGACGGTACATGGGATCGACTCTGATGAATGGTCTGCTGTCCTATCGGACGTCCTATGCGACAAGTCGAACCCTCTGGAAAGGAAGCACCCAACGACAAAGCAACCTTATGAATCAAGCAAGCATAAGGCAACACGATCCGACTCCCAGGAGTACGAAATGAAGCCAGAATATTCTGGCACACAAAATTAGGAAAGTTGATCGAGTCCCCATGAAGAAGGGCATAAAGAAAACGGGCACGCACCATAGGTAATGAAGAGGTATGGGCAACCGGCCACAGGTTTGTACACACTATGTGTAACAACACCTGACGATCAGTAGGTAATGACCCCGTGGCCATCGCCGAAGGCCCCCCGATAGACGGGGTGTTCAAAAGCGTCGATCGAACAAGAGCATCGGCCGAAATAGAAGCAGGTAAAATATAGGGACAAGTCAGATGGGTAATCTGAGGTATACCTAAAGCATGAGCTACAACCGACGGAGTAATCCTAAAAGAATGACCTCTAAGAGTAACCTGAAAAGACGAGCCGTCTATATCATGAATATTAGCATAGAATTCCTGAACGAGGAGTGGGGGAGGAGGTGAAAGACCAACAAGAAGGGGCTCCCAATCCCGGGAAACAAAAATGGCGACGATATCAACAGGAAGGTCAGATAAGATTATCTCACGCTCCACGAGAACGGGGCGTAAGGAGAACTGAGAAGTGAAGACCTCCTGAGCTGTAGCAGAAATGAATCTGGAACGACTATACGACGTCGAACCACCAGCTGGCTATGCAGAGGATCGAGACTGCTTACGGGCCATCTGGCATACAGAGAGACGGAACTAATAAGTAAGATGAAGAATGCACGTGATACGATGCACTATGATGTGAAACACTGCATAGCTAAACGAGACACGAAAGAGATGCATCGAAAAACGTGAACGACCCGTAGAGCAAACGAAGCATGATGTAAATATACACCAAAAATATGTGTAAAAACACTCAACATGGCACGGGAGGGCAATGAAACAACGACGGAAAGGAAAGAAAGAAAATAGAAGCACAAAAATGAAGGAAACAAAAAAAAAACATATAACTAAGGACTTGCATTGTACATGTGGCGTGCATCACTTTGGTACACAATTTCAAGTACATACGAGACGCAACCACACAACCAAGCACAGTCCCACAAACTAGAAAACATGCTCTTTAAAATGAAACAAACCACGCAAGAAACGGAGTAACGAAATGCAAGAACGGACTTAATGAAAATGGAAGAAAAACATGAAAACCACATAACCAAATGAATGAAAAACGAACAATTCAATGGAAATCGTGATGCAAAACGCGTGAAATAACATCCAATGAAACAAAGGAAGGACGAAGC